GTTTCAGCGTTTATCAAGCCGTAGGCCTGTCGCCCATTCTTAACATTGCAGAACTTCCACTGCTTGTTGCGGGCTCAAACACACAACTCACTGCTGCAAATTACCTTTGCTTAGCCGCGCGGCCTTCTCGCCGATTCTGATCAGCAACTGACGCATAGAGCTGGGATCGAACCCGCACCTCACTGTTCCAATCTTGGTTAGTAGAGAATAAATAGTAAACTACCTCACTGTCACTGTAGAGAATAAATAGTGCTACACGTTTACGTCTCAAAAATTTCGATAAGACGCCGGTTTAATTAACATCGAGGTACAAAATTATCATCTATCATAACTGGTGTTATACAAAGCTTACATATTTTTTGTTCCTTTACACGGATTGTAAATATAAATACCTAGATAAGTATGGAAAATTTCAGATCGTCATCTCATTTACGAGTGGAGTAAAGTTCACCCTAATTAGTGAAGAACTGCTTAGGAACCTGTCCGGGACCTCGCGGCTCTCAAGCACCACCTTAACGCTATGTTATTACCATAATTCAACGTTGTTTCTAATCCTGTTATTTGATTCAACAACTGATAAAATGCTGAAACCTTAATGTGACAAATTTACGATGTCTTTGTCGCACAGCAAACTTCAAGCATGAATTTTGATTAGTGAGCTTCTTATCAACTTTGTGACATATAAATTTAATTACTTACTTCCACTCTTGTTATAATATTTTTTGGGGACTGCCGCTCGTCTGCGACTCATGTAAAAGGTTTAGAATGTTTACATATTTTATAGCCACGGAAGGCATGTGATCAACTGAGACCTCCCGAAAAATAATAATACATAAAGCTAAATTAACTAGGTAAGGTCATAGATTTATGACATTCCTATAATGCAATTTGAATAGACATGTATTTAAATGCCACCGAGCGCAATAATTTCACCAGTTCACCGCCGAGCAGCAGTGATACTTGACTGCGGCAGCTCCCAAGCGCAAGTTCAATTAATTGTTCAGTGGAAAATATTGCGCCGGTGCGGTTAGTTCTTGCGGCTGCAATATATACAGTTAGTGAAGAGGAAGATCTTGCTCGTGGAAATTAAAATTAGTCTTCACATAAATAGCCCTTAAGCGTCCAGCTGTATATCGCCTTTCAAGATGACGTTTTTTGTTTATGTATAAAAGCTCATGCGCCCAACGGGCTAAATTTATCGTATTAATATCAGGCTAGAATATGACCAGGTCAAAAAATATATATATCCCATTGTTCTCTTCACTGCGCACTTGGGAGCCGCCGCTAACAAGTGCCACTGGCTGCTGGGCGTGAACGCTTGAAATTACAGCCATCTATATTTTACTGTAATGCCGTTGCAATTATTCGATTCCACAACATCCCGGAATATTTCAATGGATTCCGGCAATATATATTCATTACTATATACCCGTCCCTCCATTAGCTCTCAGTATATCATTTGCCTTACTCGGCTACAAAATATAAAATGTGTAACACACGTTAGTTTTCAATATTGCTCGNACCAGAAGACCTACAAGAAAGACTTCGATGCTGCCGGCATCTGGTGAGTCTACCAGAAGACCTACAAGAAAGACTTCGATGCTGCCGGCATCTGGTGAGTCTACCAGAAGACCTACAAGAAAGACTTCGATGCTGCCGGCATCTGGTGAGTCTACCAGAAGACCTACAAGAAAGACTTCGATGCTGCCGGCATCTGGTGAGTCTACCAGAAGACCTACAAGAAAGACTTCGATGCTGCCGGCATCTGGTGAGTCTACCAGAAGACCTACAAGAAAGACTTCGATGCTGCCGGCATCTGGTGAGTCTACCAGAAGACCTACAAGAAAGACTTCGATGCTGCCGGCATCTGGTGAGTCTACCAGAAGACCTACAAGAAAGACTTCGATGCTGCCGGCATCTGGTGAGTCTACCAGAAGACCTACAAGAAAGACTTCGATGCTGCCGGCATCTGGTGAGTCTACCAGAAGACCTACAAGAAAGACTTCGATGCTGCCGGCATCTGGTGAGTCTACCAGAAGACCTACAAGAAAGACTTCGATGCTGCCGGCATCTGGTGAGTCTACCAGAAGACCTACAAGAAAGACTTCGATGCTGCCGGCATCTGGTGAGTCTACCAGAAGACCTACAAGAAAGACTTCGATGCTGCCGGCATCTGGTGAGTCTACCAGAAGACCTACAAGAAAGACTTCGATGCTGCCGGCATCTGGTGAGTCTACCAGAAGACCTACAAGAAAGACTTCGATGCTGCCGGCATCTGGTGAGTCTACCAGAAGACCTACAAGAAAGACTTCGATGCTGCCGGCATCTGGTGAGTCTACCAGAAGACCTACAAGAAAGACTTCGATGCTGCCGGCATCTGGTGAGTCTACCAGAAGACCTACAAGAAAGACTTCGATGCTGCCGGCATCTGGTGAGTCTACCAGAAGACCTACAAGAAGGACTTCGATGCTGCCGGCATCTGGTGAGTCTACCAGAAGACCTACAAGAAAGACTTCGATGCGGCAGACGTCTGCAGAGAAGTTCCCGACTGACCACCTTCATATCCACTCGTTTTTTTTCAGCATTTCTGCTAGGCTTTCATTTCGTCAAGACTCCTGAGATGTTCATTTGTTCCTCACAAACTCTTGGTCAGCTCGTTTATTTGGCTTTGTGACACTTGGCACGACTCGTGACGACACTTGACACGACACTTGACATGACGCTTGACATAACTCCTATGCTCTGTCCGGCAGGTACGAGCACCGCCTCATCGACGACATGGTGGCGCAGGGGCTCAAGTCGAGCGGTGGCTTCGTGTGGGCCTGCAAGAACTACGACGGCGACGTGCAGAGCGACGTGGTGGCCCAGGGCTACGGCTCTCTGGGTCTCATGACGAGCGTCCTCATGTGCCCTGACGGCAAGACCATCGAGTCTGAGGCCGCCCACGGCACCGTCACCCGCCACTACCGCGAGCACCAGAAGGGCAACCCTACCTCCACCAACCCCATCGCCTCCATCTTCGCCTGGACCCGCGGTCTGGAGCACCGCGCCAAGCTCGACGACACTCCAGATCTGGCCAGGTCAGGGGGGGGGGCGTGTGTAGGATGTCGGGGACGGGTTGGTAATGGGGGTGACAAAAGAAAATAATGGGGTTGACACGGGGAAAATGGGTGACTGGTGAGTAATGAAGGTGACCAACAGATGTTGTGGGTCGTCGCTGTGAGCCTGGCTGAGTCATGGGCCACTAACCTAACACCTTGATGCTGTTTACTTGTCTATCTCTTTGTATGCGCGTTCAGATATAAATTTTTTGTGTCTTGTCAGTCGGCTTATCGCTGCTCCCTAATACTATTGTAATAATAATTGTCATGGCCTGTCAGGTTCGCGCGTGCGCTGGAGGCGGCGTGCGTAGACACGGTCGACTCAGGCTCCATGACCAAGGATCTCGCGGGCTGCATCCACGGCCTCAAGAACGTCAAGCCCGGCATGTACCTCACCACCCAGGACTTCCTGGACGCCATCAGGGACCAGCTGGCCCGCAAGATGGCCTAGGGTACTTCCTGGACGCCATCAGGGACCAGCTGGCCCTCAAGATGGCCTAGGGGACTTCCTGGACACCATCAGGGAACAGCTGGCCCGCAAGATGGCCTAGGAGACTTCCTGGACTCCATCAGGGACCAGCTGGCCCGCAAGATGGCCTGAGGTTCCTCCATTGTAACGCTGGAGTATCCGTAGGTTATGTAGGGAAATGTTCTTGGAAATTAGGTATTTATTTAGGATAGTTTGCTATGATAGAACGCGAAAACTAGTGTACATTCTTAGCTCGCTTCACACCAAACGTTCATCGCTTGAGACGGGTTGTTGCTTTGGGCTAGTTTTCTGTGTAATTTTATTTATTTAAATATCTGACGCTTGCAAGTATCCGAGTGGAAGAGATGAAGTTTAACGCGCGCTCTCAGATTAGTATAGTGACTAGACTCGTATTATTTGCGATGCAAATTAAAGTTTTAATTAATGGCGGTGTTTGTGTTCACAGCGCCGCGATGTTAGTCGTAAACGTAATAATTTTTATGCTGTACACTTGGCAGACTAGGCAGTGGCATTTGGGGCCTCTGGACACACGTAGTGCAGGTGTCATGTCACTTGTTAATGTCAACGCTACTTACTTACTAATTTTCATTACTGCCTCGTGGCATACTGTCGATGTACCACCTGTCACTTTTTATTATTGCCTAGTGGCATGTCACTGGTTATCGATGGCAGTTGGCATGCCACTTGCCATCAGTGACAAGTGGCATGTCACTTCTTATTGTCATTTATTTATTGGTTCGTCCGCCGTAGTCCTGATGCAGAAGTTCAATTAAACTTGGAAATTTGTCGTGTTTTTCATTGCCAAGATGGACCGCTTGTACCTCAGACCTGTTGACTCATCGCACATCATCACCGCCTCCCTCATAACGAACGCCTTGTGTCGTAGGGAACGCCTTGTGTCCTGTCGGCGTCGTAGGATGAGCGTTCAAGAGGCTCTTCTTGCGCTCAGGATGATCTTCTTTCAAGGGGAATAGCAGACCATCCTGAGCTCTTGTCTTATTACAAGGGGAATACGCCGGTGAGGAGAGTCCGCGCCGGTCCAGGATGTAAAAACCGCCGGTGACGGTGATTACTTTTTCCACGTCACCTTTACTGTTACATTTAGCCCTTGATGTACTGTATTAAACCCTCTACCGCCTGACACGAGTAATCGGAGCAATATTGTCACGCGCCTTCTTCCCAAAAAGGATACGTTCTAGTGAGCGCAAAATGACTTGCACTGATGGTTGCCGCCACGTACGACAACTTTAAAATGTTCTCTGTTGCGTACAAACGTCCTCAGCTTGCTACACTCAATAGTTTACGTATAATTTGCCGCCACGTACGACAACTTTAAAATGTTCTCTGTTGCGTACAAACGTCCTCAGATTGCTACACTCAATAGTTTACGTATAATTTAAGTTGAAAGTTATCTTCTCGGAGAGTGTAACATACGGCGGTAGAGGGTTAATAGCGTTTCACTTCATCAGTGATAAACTCGCTATAAAGCATACCGTTTAAATTTAACGTTTCTTCGCTTGCTGACTGGTGGCAACTAGTAGACCGTTGCAAGAATATTCTGTTATGTATTTTTATTTCACTGAAATGTTAACTGCCCAACTAAATTTTGATTTTGACACCGACAGAGTCCGCGTACCGACTGGTAGGCGCTTGCATATGCCGTCAATATATAGTTTGTTCGCCCCCAAACCGGGAACTGCTGACGTGGAGTCGTGCGACAAAGTTGCATGAAACGGAGGTGGTGAGAACGGGTAATAGGACACACCGGTTGTGTTTTTAGGCTTTCTTAGGGGATTCAGTCCCCTAAATTTTGTTGAAATTATTCTCAAATGATGTCGATAAATTCTAAATAATGTGACCTGAAGATTGGTTCAAATGACCATCAAGCAGTCATTATTAGAAATGATGTCGTCATAAATAATGACATAAGACGATAAGTCCCTTGTCCTTGTAACCTAGTAGCACCCTTGGTTCACATCGCAACTTGTAAGTCCAAACCCACTGGCATGACAATGAAATACATAAAGTAAAACTAGAGTGGCGTAAATCGGAAACAATATCGTTGAAAACCATTCAAATGAATTAGTTCGTCCTCTACAGCAGATCGAACATTCCATTAAATAAGCCGCTGTGGTACGAGCACATATTTATTTGACTACGGATGGCACCAGCTGATATGAGGCGCCCTATTAATCTATTATAATATGTTCCTTATTGTTCACTGGTACAATGGTTGAATTCGTATAAGCCCACAACACAATCCTACAACATGGTTGTGGGCTTGTATAAGCCCATGGTTTAACATAAGCCCACGACAAGCCCATTCTTCAGCGCAGTCAGCACTTTGATCTGATATAACGCAGTTTCCGACAAATATTAGGTAGTTTTCTGTTCAAATATCCGAGTTTTGATGGGGAACTACACTAAAGTCAACTTTCGATTCACATGACTCATAATTTTTGCACATGCTCTTCAAATTTTAAATTTATTTGGAATCTCTATATCAGTAATAATTTATCTCTTAAGTTTTGCCTCTGTTTTGACTGTACCTCGACCTGCCGCACGCGTCTGTAAGAAGCGCGTGGCTGCAACCTGCAGTCGAACATCATTTGACGGTAATTATTATTTAAAAATTACAGTAACAACTAATACGGCCATGTGGCATAAACCTGACGGACTTTACAATAAACCGCGAGCGAATTTTTATATCATAGTAAGTTATTCTGAAAGTTTCAAATTCCTAGCATGCTATGAAATATAGCGTGAATTTTAAATGAGGCTCGAAATTTTTCCGAAAAAGCGAAAGTTTATTAAAATTGCATGACTGGGTTCACAAGAGTTTATTTGAACGAATGTGCCTTTAATCTTTTTCGCTCTGCGGTGGACGGTTGAAATTATATCGTTAAACTATGTTTTATTATCATGATGCACATATCTGGATTAAAGGAGTGCATGGAATCTATCATCATAGTCAGAGTTTTGCTTTATGTTTTTCACAATTCGCATCACTCTGTTAGTCACCTTTCTACGCTACAAAATTTTACTGCTATTTATCTATGAATATTTCAACTATTACGAACGAGTCAGTTTCCACTTAGATAATCGAACATCATTAGAGAGAGAAAATGATTATATATATTTTTCTCTCAACTTGATTGAGAAAGGCATTTATGATATCATTATTATTGGATAATATCATTCTTTGTGAATATAACTGACATTTGACACTATTTGTGTGACAAAAGTTTTATTTATTTGTTGAATTCCTATTACAATTTTTCTTAAGGTAATTTAATCAAAATGAATAGTCATTGGGAACATTAGAATTGTGTTATTAGCGACGCATCATGTGCTTTAGTCTCCCCTTCACTATGATTAAATTTCATAATTTAACTTTTTCACATCCAGAGGCCGCTATGAGGTGAAGGGGAAGTCAGATATTGAACAATTGAACGTTTGCCCATACAGAGAGTGGTCCAGATTGTAAAAACGGAATTCTTCATTAGTTAGCCATCGTCAAAAATGAGGCAAAGAAAATTTCTCTCGAAGAAAATTTCACGCTCAGACTCACGTATTCCGCATCAATTGATTGTGGTGGCATGTCGGCGCTTAATGCTTGAATCAAACATGGCCGGTCGTTAATTATTTTCATGTTTAACGCTCACTGCTGCGAGTTGTCGTTTCTAGCGTAACTTTTATGTTCTTGCCCTAGTTCCCTGTAAGAGGAAGCACCAGCTTCTCATATCGCTCTCTAGCTTCTTTTAGTCGGCTTGAGGAGGTCCTAGGCTCCTAGCCACTCTTACGGTGTAATAGACTAATAGTAAACCTTTCCAAGAAGAAGACAAAGCTTTCATTCCACTCCACAATCTTGATACTACCATGCCATCGAACAGCAAACTTCTAGCAGGTTATTATATAGCGGTTTCAGCGTTTATCAGGCCGTAGACCTGTCGCCGATTCCTTACATTGCAGAACATTCACAGCTTGTTGCGGTCTCGAACTCGCAACTCACGGCTTCAATTCTGCTGTGCCCGCCCGGCCTCCTCGCCGATTCTGACCAGAAACTGGCGCTCAGAGCTGGGATCGAACCCGCACCTCACTGCTCCAATCTTGGTTCTCTGAACTTTAACCACATTCTCCAAGTTATGGGCACCAACTTAACGCTATGTTATTACCACAATTCAACGTTGTTTGTGATTTTGTTATTTACTTTTACTACTCGTAAAACTTTGAAATAAAACTTCAACAAATTTACGATGTGTTTGTCGCACAGCAAACTTCAAGCATGAATTTTGAATAGTGAGCTTCTTATCAACTTTGTGACATATAAATTTAATAATTACTTACTTACACTCTTGTTCTAATATTTATTTTGGGACTGCTTCTCGTCTGTGACTCACGAAAACGGCTTAGAATGTTCATATATTTTATAGCCATGAAAGGCATGTGATCAACTGAGACCTACTAAAAATTATAAATAAAGCTTGAGAGACAAGTTAAGTTCATGGATGTATGGCATTCCTATAATGCAGTTTGAATGAAATTGCAGTGAAATGCGATCGAGCGCAATAATTTCCCCAGTTCACCGCCGAGCAGCAGTGATACCTGATGGCGGCAGCTCCTAAGTTCGGTGGCAAATTTGCACCGGAGCGGTTGGTTCTTGCTGCTGTAATTACAGTCAGTGAAGAGGAGGATCTTGCTCGTGGAAAGTGAAATACGTCTTCATATAATTAGTCTTTAAGCGTTCAGCTGTACCTATATGTCGTCTTTCAAAGTGATTTTTTTTCGTTTATGTAAATAAGCTCATTCGTGCAATGGGCTAAATTTATCGCATTAATATCAGGCTAGGGTCAATCACCAGGTCAAATATATATATATATATATCACCTATCGCATTTTCCAATAAATTAATTTCATCCCCGCGATATGGATGCAATGTGGTTTTTTGCACTATCAAGAAGGTTGGTCTAATGGTCTCTGAGGGGTTCTATCACATCTCCTTTCTGACTGTATTTTGAAAGCTCAAAAATCAAACGGCACCGGAGATATATTTCCCATAGAATAGAATAGATGTGTCGGCTCTGAAGAAATAGGCCCATGGCCTGTTGCAGATTCTTGTACTTATCGTGACGCTTCACAAAGGATCCGGGCTTCTGCGCCCGATCTTTCCACAACTGACGATTGTTCTCTTAGCTGCGCACTTGGGAGCCGCCGCTATCAAGTGCCACTGGCTGCTGGGCGTGAACGCTTGAAATTGCAGCCATCTATATTTTACTGTAATGCCGTTGAATTTATTCGATTCCACAACATTCCGGAATATTTCAGTGGTTTCCGGCAATATATATTCATTACTATACCCGTCTTTCCATTAGCTCTCAGTATATCATTTGCCTTACGCGGCTACAAAATATAAAATGTGTAACATAAGTGTCGGCACT